GCCGTTCCGCACGTTGTAACCAATAATTTATTGGCGTTGTAATGCCATTGTATGCAATAAAGTATTGGTTACAACGTGCGGAACGGGTGGAAAAAATCCCTTACGCACTTTTAATAAGAAGATACACTTCTGTATGTCTTTATTCTGTGACTAGGTTGAGGCACCCAGCCACGCCATCAATCCCAGTAAAAACATTAGGTCACGTCAGCTAGTTTCCTATGGGGGGGGTGGGTAGAATCCCAAAAAAAATATCGGGCAAGCAATTCGAACTTAAAAAAAATATCGTGCAAGACTAAACGGACGAAAAAAAATATCGAGCAAGACTTTCGAGTGGTAATCCTTATTTGCCATTCGGTGCATTTCCGCGTGTAGCCCAGGGCCGTATGTAGCAACCGGGGTGCTGCAGGGTCCAGGAAATGGCATTTCAGAGACTCTAAATTTAAAAATTTCCTCGGGCCTTCGGCCCTCGCTTCCAGCCCCCCAATCATAAAGAGCTTCCTACGACCCTGTAGCCTAAATAATGGGAGAACCAGTATAATTCCAAAAATGGTTGTTCTTCATTTCTTTATTTTCTTCATCTCCGACTCCTATGATGAACGTGTACGTAAAAAAACTAGGAAAACTACGATTAAATCACGTGCACGGCCGTAGAAACCAAAATAGGTGAAATTTTTATGGGACACGATCAAAGGCGAGGATATAAGAGCGAGAGATTGAAATTGAGTAGGAATAGCGTGCAGGGGTATGCCTTTCGATCTAACAGTTTTCTTCAGCCTGCAGGGTTTTTTAAGAGGAGGGGTGGGTGGGGGGGTTGTGTTGATATAATTTGAAGAGGAGAAGGAAGGAGAGTTTATAGGAGTTTGGAAAATAATGTGAGACCAAGAGGAAAACAAATTATTACGAAATAACTGAAAATAACCAATTACACAGTGAAAGGATGTAACTATTATACATGTTATTAGTCAAGTTATCCTACCAAAGGTCTTGTTTGCGGGACATTCCAACACTACGCACTTTACTGTTCATCGTTCGTATTGGTGAAGTGAAGCAAATTTGCAGGTTAACTTACTCAATGGTATAGTGAGTTTGAATGATTGTGATGGTAAGAGTGATCATGTGACTGTAGGTGATTGCATCCAAATATGATGTTAGTGGTGTAGGAGCTTATAAGACAGGGATAGGGGCATTTGGCAATTAGTGATACATAATGATATATAAACTCATTAATAATTCATGAGGAAAACACAAACAAAAATCATAAACGTGTCGTATCCTTGATATGTGATAGAGATTTCCCTTGATTTACATAAATTTTAATGATTTTTTTTACATATACACACCAAATTTTTTGAAAGCTACTTCGCCAATGAACGTATACTAGATCGATCATTTTTGAAGCAATTTAAAACATTCGCAGTGCGTGTTTTATCAGACCATCTTTATATCTGATAAAACACTGCTGCTCATGTTTTAAATAGTGCATAAAATCTCTGCAAATCTCCATAGTTGCCGAGCAAAAAGCATGCATGATGCTAAATATAAATCTCGACTATGATTGGATAATGGGTGAAGGTGCTAATTACAAAACGTTAATCATCCTTAATGGGTGAAAACAAATTTGTCATAGCCATTTGGGCAGGCGTTTCCTCTGTACCGGCCCGTCAGCTAAACGCCTGCTACATATACAGTTGTTTACTTGACTTTTTAACGATATTATCCACGTGCAGATTCCATTTTAAGTTATTTTGGACCACGAGACCTAAAATCTTTTCAGATTCAACAAGCTTAATTGGGTTACCAGACACAGTCAGGGGTTCGAAAGATCTTTTATCTTTAGAAAAATCGATTATTAGCTCTTTGCATTTGGAAATATTAAGTTTCATGTTATTATTAATTGTCCAAGTAGTGATGTCATTTACTACATCTTGAAGGTGAGATGGGCAATTTGGCCTGATACATTAGTGGCATTAGTATCGTTGACATACTTCCAACGGTCCTGCCAATCTTCAAGAAAGTCGTTTATCATGACCAAGAAAAGGATTGGTCCCAGTATGGTTCCTTGGGGCACTCCGCCATTAACTCTTTACCACTCGGACATACAAAGGCCAATCTTGACACGTTGTTCTCTTTCTGTTAGGAAGTTTTTAATCCAGCTAATTATAATTGGTGGAACTTCCATGGAAGATAGTTTTTGTTGTTTTTAATCTTATTTAATTAACTGACATGCTAACTTGTTTATGTGTTAGTTTTAAAAATGCAACGTTTTTTATGTTTATAACTATTAGCAGCTTACTGAAACACTATCTGAATTT